ATTACGGATACTCTTGAAACACCCTGGCCATGATCATGGACCCATTGCAGAAGTTCCGGGATCTCATTATGGTTTCTTGCTCCAAAATCCTTGCCACTACTAAGGACAAACCCTCCGAACATCTTGGTGTTAGTAATGCAAATCTTGGCGATAAAAAAGAAGCCCAAAATTCCACGCATCAACTCAGGGAGGCCCCAGGCACAACATTTGGAAGAGGTCGGAGACTTGATTGCAGAAGTCTCTACTCTATATATATATATACACAGATATACTTAGGATCTACATGTTCCAAGCATCATTGCTTTGGGCAAGAGGTCCCGAAAAGTTCTTAAATGCTTTGAGTTCCAGATTTCAAAATCCATATACCGCCTAAACAAACCCTATATCTTAAATCTTAGCACCTAAACCTTAAATCCTGGACCTTAAGCTCACACCCGAGCTGGCTGAGCCATGGGTTCTGGTGCGAGCAAGGCACAGGCCAAGCCGCAGGATGACCTTGCGCCAACCCTGCCGGAGGCAGCATCCTCCACTGCACCGAAGGACGTGGCTTCTTCCCCAGTTGCCTAATCAATCGGGCTTACGCCTTTGGGTGTAAGGTTTTGGGTTTCGGGTTCAGGGTCCAGAGTTCAGGGTTTTGTGTGTAGGGTTCAGGGGTCGCCTAGTTCATAGTAAACCCCCCACCCCCTCAATAATGAATATGGCCCTTCATACACAATGGTACTACATGGGTTATTCAGATGAGGGGAGTAGTAGGGAACTGGGAAATGGGTTGCATGGACCATTCTCGGGACCACAACCCTAAACCCTGAACTCATAGTGGGATCCATTCCCTCAGTCCCTGCTAAGCCCTAAACCCTAAGCCCTAAACCCTAAACCCTAAGTACCAGGGTTTCTTCCCAGGTTAGGCTAGGGTTGGTTCTGGGATCTCGGCGAAGGGGCTGTGACGATACCATCGTAATTAGAGGGTGTAGAGTTTTGAGGTAGGGCTCAGGGTTTGGGGTATCAAAGGGTCCTGGACAACCACTCATCACCGCGGCTATAGTGATGATCTGCCTTCTGATCTTGATTGATTGCCCAAAATCTCAAAGCAGGCGAGAGTTCAACATGATTGCTTTGGGAGCCCCACCCCTTATAATAAAGAACCTACAATCTATAAGAGTGGGGTCCCCGATTTGGAGGTGGGGGTTACCAAAATCCTCGTCTTGTTCATAGTCATGGGCGCGAAGACTGGCCAGCAGCACTGTAGGAGAGACCATGGCATAGCATTTTAGGGTTTAGGGTTTGGGTAAACCCTAAGCTAAACCCTAACAGGGTCCAGGGTAACTTCTCCATATCTGAAACTGGATCGAGGTTCTGAGGCCCCTGTTCCAAGGTGCTAGCCCTGGCGTTCAGACCTACTTGTCGGTGGCAACCAAGGAATGAAGGAACGGAATGAATGAAGTTCTATAAAGGATGCGCTATTTAGGTACCCGTTCCTCCACCGCTTGCTGGCCACCGAGTAAGCCTCGGGCCTAGGGATTGGAGATGCTGAAAATGTCTAACGTGGGCAGTGCACAGTGCAGGCGAGGAATAGGGATTACTTATGTTGCTCAGTAACGTCGATGATCAGGATGGGCGTTCTCACTGAACGCGAGAATGATGACGGTGCTGCTGTCTAGACTGAGACAAGAGCATGAGTTGCAGTAGCCGCGACAATTCCAGTAGTCAAGTAGAGAGAGTGAGGGCAGATTCGACTACTATTCGCATCCATTGCAGTACTCCATGTCGTACTAAACCCCAAATCTTAATCCCCCAACCAGGAAACGTAGCTTCCATTTTTGTCCACTCCGTACTAACCACCAGCCGAACCCCCAGTAAGCCTAGGAAATTACATTCCATGAATCCCCATATCCCCCCCAGTTTCCATTTGATTTTCCAGTGTCTTTTGCATATGATTCTCCAGTATAGGGGGATAATATAGTAACCCAAAACCCAAAACCCTAAATGTCCCTATACGCCCTCCTATATCATAAGTACCCCCTACATACCCTTATTATAGTAGCCTAAGGTCTGCAGCTCTCAGTTGCCGAGGTCCTTGGGTCCTGTGGGGATGACAGACTTCTAAAAGTTGCTCAGCCCGACATTCCAGAAGCTTGCTGGTTGTTAGTAGGGACTTATTAGGGTTTAGGATTTAGGGTTTGGGGTTTGGGGTTTCAGGTTTAGGGCTAAGGGTTCAGGGTAGGGAATTTGAGAACATATTGGGTTTATATAGGGATTGTGGAGAAATGGAAACTACTACATTATAATAGGGTATATACTTGCTGGGGCTTAGGAGGGAGTAAGGGAATATATTTTAAAGCGATTATATGGGGATTATATTCCTTTAGTCCCCACTAACAACCAGTAAGGAAAGCTTCTGCATGGATGGCTCAAGTAAAGCCGGTGGTGCGCCTGTGGTGGTTCTGGATGTTGGAAAAGGGATCCAGAAGCTCAAAGCTAGCTTCTTCAAGCTCTTTCCCTACGGGAAATTCATGACTGTGGGTGAGTTCTGTGACAGCGCGTCACTCTTGGGGAAGTGTCTTGTGGTAATTCATGGCGGCACGGAGCAGGGGAACTACATCCGAGAGCTTGAGAGAGCCGTCCTCATCAAACACCTTGAGCATGGAGGATCAATAATGACAATTGCGTCTGGATCCACTTTCTGCGGTTGCAACAAAGGGTGTCTTTCCCTCCTTCCTATCTTTGCACATGATAGACGCCACTGGAGTCGTGGAACAGGAGATATACAAATGGCGCTTTCTGCGTGTGGAGCGATGTGTTTACCGCGACTGCCAGACTTGCAAGGCGAGGAAGCCTTCCAGTCTAAGTACTTCAACGGCCCTGCGATTGTACCCATGAGCAACTTACCGGTATATTGGGCAACCGACAGGTTTTAGCACATAATATGAGCCAAAATGTTAGGCTCGGAAGAGCACTAGGGTGTAAGTACGGACACCTAAGGTGCGGAGGAGTACCGAGACATGGGCGGAGCTTTCGACCTTGAGTGCGGAATGGGCGTTACCTTCCTGACCTACCAGACAGAGATGAATGAATGCGAGGCAGAAACACCTCTCCTCGGCATGCCTTCGGTGACTCGGTGGTGCTTGGGGGAGAGCGCGGGAGCGCATTTCTACATAGCCCGTAGTTCTACCTCATGCACCTTAGTCAATCCCCCCTCCCACTCACTCTTTTCTCGCCAGTAAGGTGATTGTTGGTCAGATGAAACCCAGCCGGGCTCGCTTTGTGGCAATATCTCCAAATGTGGAGGTTTCCACTTCCCCTCCCACCAGGGCTCTTATCCAGGAGCTTGTCAGCTGGGCATCGATGGGAAGCAGGCATATGCAGGACTCTTATTCCTGTAGATTCGTAATGAAACTTGTCAAGATTCCATGAGAGACTGTGCTAGAACACTTCATTCTCTGTGGTGTCTAAGCGCACTATATATAACCCCTATAATCCCTGTAGTTTCCATTTTCTTTTCCATTATCCTTATACAACCCCAACATAACCCCAGTATACTTAGACATGCAGGAGGCCAGCATCTTTTTCCAAGAGATGGAATTGCCCAACTTCGATGACCATTCTGTGACTGGTACATTGGGCGATGGCGGATTGCTGGTGCAGCTGTTCAAGGACACCTAAACCTTAAACCCTATACCCTATACCCTAAACCCCATACCCTAACATAATGGAGAATCACATGGTAAATAACCTGGAAAACTCAATGGAAGGGGGAGATGATACAGGGGTGTATAAGGTTTCCTGCTAGGTAAGGAATTAGGGTTTAGGGTTTAGGTTGGTTTCGGGTTTAGGGTTTACAGGCAAAACTTGCACATACTCTTGTAGATGACCTAGTCTTTTGTCGTAGGGATGGAATTAGTACTGTCCCCAAATAGGGGACCCCAATATAGACCGCAATATACTTGAATCCTTATTATGGGTACCCCTAGAGGGTAGGAAACCCTAAACCCTAAATAGTTGTTTTTCATTTTCTTCTCCATTATCCCTATATAACCCCTATAAACCCCTTTAAAGAGGGTAGCCCTAATTTTGGGAAACCCTAAATAGTTTTTTTTCATTTTCTTCTCCATTATCCCCATATAACCCCTAGAAAACCCCTATATTCTACTTAAGGGGTTCGAGGGTAGCCCTAATTTTGGGAAACCCCCGACTGACAGTCATGCTACGGGGATTTCTTACCATTTTGCGCCCGCTCCCGAGGGATCCTTTGGATGGGGATTTAGGATTTAGGGTTTAGGGGTTAGGGTTTAGGGTAGTTGTATCAATATTTCTAGAAGTTCCTTAATATGGGCTTTGGTCTAAATTCCTTAGGGGGGGTTATGTAGGGGATTCGATAGGGGAGTATCGTAGGGGTTATTAGGGGGATACTCGAATTCGAGACTATAGCTCATATGCGTCCCCAATTGTAGGGAAATAACCGTTTGGCTTTTGCTTTTCGAATTTGACCCCAGGGCCAGAACCCCATAGCTCACAGCGCAGGAAGCCGGAAGAGACCTGGAGCCCCTCTGCCTACCAAGAAGCTTGAGGGGGGATGGTTTCGCCCTGCCTGAAGGCAGGAGGCTTGTGATTTTGGATTTGGGGAAAGGCCGTGAGCAACTGGAGGATATCTTTCAACCACTGGTGCCCGATCCAGAGCAGCGGCCAATCATTGAGCCCCAGGCTCTACAGGATTGCTTGCGTCGTGAAGATGTTGTTCCCTTTGCAATTTTAGTACGATTTGCCAGTTGATATCCTAAGTTTTTTGTACGTTCAACCGAAATTCTAGAGCCGTCCGAGGTCTTAGGGAATAATTGTGCCTGTACTCTCAAATCTAACCCCATTACCGGTCTATGGGGAGTTCTGACACTTTGCGCAGGTTCTACTGCATGGCGGCATGGCGAACGAGCATGCAGAGCGATTGGGCGTAGGTGGAAGGGCTGCCCTCCGGCAGCATTTGCAAAATGGTGGCTCTCTGCTCGGCGTCTGGATTGCTGTTCAGAAGCTTCAAATAAGGTTTTCATGAGCTAGGTTCCCTGTTTGGGAAGTCCCAATAATGAGGATAATAATTTACTGGGGTTTAAACTGGGGCTTCCCATGTTGGAAGCTCCCAAGGTTAACTTTAAGTTATCATTACAAGGAAGCCGTACTATTTGGTATATACCATCCGTTATATCCATATCATGGGAACTTCTCCTGAGAACCAGGCATTTGTGCAGGCGCGCACTGGCTGTCTTGCAGAGATCTTCCGCTGTGGGGCCATATCCTGCCTGCTGTCCCTCATGACAATGCAAACTGGAGACTGAGCTGCTGTTAATCAGGAGTTTAGATAAAGGTGGGGGAGCCCTATTACTTACCATGTATCTGTGCTGTGGTAACTCGGCTTAAGTTCTTGAACAGTAAAGTAAGTTACCATAATAGGTACATTAATAGGGTTTCCCCAATATAGTAAGGTTAACTAAGTTCCTTACATCCCTATATTCCCTACAGCTTCCACGTCCTTTTCCATCCGATTCTCCATTATACGGGATAATATAGTGACCCTAAACCCTATACCCTTACAGTACTTTAAAATAAGTTCCTGAAGCCCAGGAGAAGGGGCGTGGGCGATGTGACCGTCCGCCTGACAAGTGAAGGCCAAAGGATTCTAGATCTGCCGGACTTGCCCACGCGACTGGATTGCTGTTAAGGCTTATGTCAAGGAATTCAGCTTGAGATGCCATAATGGGTGTATATAGCAACTAATATGGCTTCCCCCCTTAGAATAACTTAGATTGAGTTCCTCAACAGCAACCCAGGCTTGGCTTGAGGTACGCCAATGGCCCTCTTCTGGTGGCCTTACTGCCGGAAGTTTACGTCAACTACCAGCCAGGCAGGGTGCCCGAAGCAATGGAAGGGCATGAAGACGTTGTGCTGCATAGTGACAGCTTACCCACTCCGCTGGCAGTGTTCTCTGATTGCTGCGACCAACGTGTTGAAGGGTGGCAGGCGATGAAGGGACCCTGGGAAGCCCAAGCGAAACATTTTTGGCATTCTTGGGTTCTGTTCATTTATACAAACAGCCAAAATAAAAGACGACATTATCATTGTACTGTGGTTGCTGGGCTACCAAGGACATGCGGCAGCATGGGCATGGCAAGCATCGTCAGGAGGGCGTGTAGTGTCAGTATCGCCTCATCCAGAGTACGCACAGTCAGAAGAGTCCAGGCTCCTTTTCCGGAGATTCTTGCTTTGGTGTTTGAGCACTTAAGGCCATGCCTGAAACGCCAAAGAACTGCAGTTTCAGTATAATGAATAACTACCCGTTATTTGCTAGGTATATATATATATATCCCATAGCAATATAGATAATTGGGGTCATTGGTGGCCGCTAGCTCAAATGACATTTGTACCGACGGGATCGGCTTAAAGCGAGACCCGCGGATGTGTGCATAGCCTGGTGCTGATCCTGCAGCAACCATACGCACTGCAGTCGCTGTGAAAGAATTCCTGTAAAAAGATTTCCCCAAGTAGAGTCCTCTTACATACACCCAAGATGATAGAATCCCTCAATATCATGCCTCAATGATGACAGGCTCCAGTTCGCCACGCGCCGCGTGAAGAAGACGTACTTGGCGCTGTGTGTGGGCAAAGTTGCCAGGAGCTAGGAATCGCATGGATTAGCATCAAAGACTTTAAGTTTGTAC